GTTGCAACAGCAGATTAATTTGTTGTCTTATTACCATAAAAATGTGCTGGGAGATGGGGCTGGCAAGGAAAGGGACAGGAGATGAGGCAGGGCTGAGGAGGAACTTCCTTGAAGTTTGAAGGGAGGGGTTGTGTGTGTGTGTGGGGGGGGAGTTGGAGCAGGGTCTGTGTGTGTTGTGGGGGGGCGAGTTTAGCAGAAGCGAAATGAATGCGGATTGGTCCGAGGCCGATTTTCCGACCTGCAAAAAGAGGAGGGAGGGAGGGAGGGGGTGGACAAGAAGGAGGGCTCCCAAGCAGCAATGCAGCCCACCTCAACATCTGGCCGACACACAACTCCGAGGGGGCACAGCTGCAAGGCGGTGGGGGGCTAACCCCTCTCCCGGAGTCACCAGCTTTGCCAGGGCTTCCCCTTCTACAGATCTGCTCGTCTCCGATACTTTTAAAGACAGTTAGACAGTTTTATAAAGTCTCTTCTAGGCTCGTGTCTGCGCTTGGTGGTGGGCATCTATCAATCTCTGTCTGTCTGTCTGTCTATCTATCTGTCTGTCTGTCTGTAAGTCTTTTTTCCTGGTCCACACTGTCACCCCTTAGGAATCCTGTTAAGACGTAACAAATTAAAAAAAAAGAAGAAAGAAAGAAAGACAGACAGACAAATCTTCAATGCTAAAGACATCATCGAAAGAGTATTTTTCTTTCTCTTTCTCTTTTTCTCTCTCCGTTCCATCTCCCCATTGATTGAAAGTCTCTCTCAGCTCCAACAAGGAGTCCCAGGAAAAATGAACCATTCTGCTATCGATTCTTCATTAAAATTACATTTCTGCATTTGCTAAATTGGTTTTAAAAAGCTTCCCCTGTTATTATTGTCTTGTCAGGGCCGACGGTGCTGGGCAAACAGTATTTAAAAGCTTGGGATTTCTCCAGAATGAGTCGTCCCCCACTCCTCAGTGCTTAGGCAAATATTAGCAACATATCTAGATATAGATATAGATATAGATATACCCCCAGGGGAAAGAAGGCAAGAGACAAGTGCTTCATTGTGAAAAAATAGAAGGGTGGAATGAGACCTTTCCTTCACGACACTTAAAAATCATTGATTAGAGCGTCACAACAAAACAGAAAAGTTTCCTTTTAAATATTACGAGGAGAGGCAATCAGATGTCGGCAGCGGCGGGGGTGATTATTTTCCCAGGTCACCATCAGAGCCGCTTACTTTAAAACAGGCGCTGGCATTGTCTGCTGAACCTGCCCCGCTCCCCCTCCGCCGCAGGCAGGATCCTCCTGGTCTCAGCAAAACAGAGCTGCTGCTTGCCCACTTCCCTCTACGGGGGGAGGTTCAAATCATCCCGTCTTATCCTCACCCCCTTTCCTAGCTTCCCTGAAACACAGCCCCGCAAAACCCCAGAGAACACCGGTCCCTGCCCCGTGTTGGTCTGAGAGGAAAAAGTAGCCCAAGAAGGACTCTGGGAGATTTCCTTTGAATTCTGTAAATCTCTCTCGAAAGAGCAGGGAAGCAGAAATGTCTTCCTGATGTGTTTATCCCCTAATCAGTTCATTAGTTATAAACAACATGACATTAGAAGTTAGGAGGCAGTTGATATTAATTTTTATTTAACTAGTTGATGTTTAATCCGTCACGCCAGGCTGCATAGAAAGAGCTGCCTGACACAAACCAGTTAGAACTTCATACACCGCGATCATTGTCCGGGCACCGGCACAAGCGATGGGGGGGCAGGCAGTGAGGGTGGAAGCGTGTATTGGGGGAAAGGGGACGATGCCAACAGCCTAGGGAAAGGGCGCCAGGGGCTAGGGCAGAAAGGGGGCAGAAAAAAGGAGGACTGAGAAGAAGAGGAAAAACCAGCGCGAGGAAGAGAGAAAAATCAGGGAGGTGAAAAGGAAAAAAAGAGAAAGAAATGGTGGGGGGAGAGAGAGAGAGAGCAAGCCAGGCAGGGCAGGGCGGGACGGGCGGAGAAGGGGCAGGTGCCCATCCCGCCCATGGGAACCGGGGCCCCGAACCCGAGTGCCGGGATAGCGGTGCCCCCACCCCGTCGTGCCCCGGCCGAGGAGCGGGCTCAGGCAGGCGGCGGGCTCGACTGGCAGGTGCCGCGCGGGGCTGGGCGCTGCTCGGTGCAGTGGTGTGAGCGCGGGGGCCATTCATTTCACTTCAAATAGGTACCATTTCATTAGACAAGGATGAGCGGAGGGATAAAAGTCCCGGGATGCACTGGGCACCTTCCTCTCTTGGGTTTCAGGGATGCCGCTTTTCCCTTGGGGGTGAGGCGGGGAGGCTCGACTGCCTGGACTGCTCCTAGAAAGAGTTGGGGGCAATTCCTGAGGCCAGGAAACTCGTGTGCAGACATTTAAACACCCCCTCCTTGCACACAGAAACACCGCCTGCCTGTCCCTGTCCCTGTCCTTCTGCCTACCTGGAACGGGCAGGATCTAGAAATACAAACCGACTCGCTCTCTTTATGCTCTGCCTGTCCGTGCAATGTAGAGGAAACACGGGTACGTGTCCCATGCGTGTACATCTTCGTATATGTGTGCACAGGTACACGTGTATTTTCTGCTCATACCAAGAACTCTACACCCAGATCTTTGCGCAGGTTGATACACAGTTTGAGTCTAGCAATTCAGGACGCACCTGCTTGGAGTATGTTGTGCTTTCTTCCTATAAATCCACAGGACATTTTCCGCACGTGTATACTCTGGAACTGAGTTTACAAGTAGTCTAATATCATGTCTGTATATTGTTCTCTCTCTCCCTCCTTCCCTTCCTTTAAGATGTACAGCACATCTTTTAATTGCATATTGAAAGCTCAACGGCATATCTCACAATTATAAACTCCTTCTCTCCAAACACGCATTAAAAGGGCTCCTAACTCTGAGAGCATCCATGAATCTCCTTCCCCTGTGCCCCCGAATACCCTCGGATCCGTCTTGTCCCGGCTGTGTGCCCATCTCTCCGACCCGGAATCCCATATCTATTTCCATATTAATCAATCACTCCATCTCTCCGCGGAATAAAGGAAATAGTTCGCATTCCGAAGAAAATTGCCTGCTTTCCAGCAGTTAATAGTTAACTCCAGAAGAGAAAGTTCCCAGGGGGAGGCGGGGAGCGCAGGGAACGCGCCGCGGCGGCCGGGCCAGCGGCTTGGCCCCGCAAGAGGCGAGCGCCGGGCACGGGTCCCCGGCCATTGCGATCACCGCTCAGTTCCCCAAACCCTTCTTGGAGAAATCGGCTCCCACGTTGCGGGCGCGGCTCGCCCGCTGCCTCTGCATCGGGGAGGAAACCGGTTAAAAAAACCGGGAGGGAGGGAGGGAGGGGGCTCAAACGGGGCTGGGGGGAGCCCCGGCGGCCTGGATCAGGTTCTAAACTAAGTTGAAGCAGGCTGGGGAGACGGGCGAGTGGCGGGGCCTGGGGGGGGGGGCACG